GCAATCAGAAGTCCATCAGTCTTTTATTTAAGTGTGTCCCGACATTGCTGTTACAGACAAAGATGGACTCCCAATGACACCGTAGGAGCTATTAACACTTTAAATAAGCAAATAAGCTACCAGGTCAGGTGGGTCAGAGTCTCTCAATTACTGAGTGACCACGTGCCTTTCAGGTACACTTGTATTTTGTTATTCTGGAGGGGTCATGCTGAATGTATGATTTTGTAGATTTGTCACAAAACCCACTTAGGAAACCAGTGTGTAACCGATCCTGGCTCAGGCTGTGTTACCAAGGAGCACCCAGCTGCTGTTGGGCTTCGCCTTGGCTTGGGATAGGCAGACTTGGGGAAGCAGAGGAGTTCATGTGGGGAGCTGGGGTCGGAGGAGAGCGAGATGCACCGCCCCCCGCCCATGGTCCAGATCTGTTTTACACAGCAGAGGGGCTGTGAGCAAGTGTCAGGGTGGCTCCCAGTAGTGGGCACAAATTCACAGCCCCACTCATACTCCTACAGGGCACAGAGAACCACGCCCCAGGGTGGGCCTAGCCATGTGGACTGCATGGACAGGCAGAAGGCTCAGGGCAAGGGAGAGGTGCACCTGCTAGGAGAGCCCAGGAATGAGCAGGCCCTGCCTTGGGGAGGACAGGCAGTGCTGAGCTGTGAGGCTCAGGAGATAAGGAGATTAGAGGGCAGTGGGCTCACACCTTCTCCCTGGGGCTCTGACCTGCACCTGTCCGTGCCTCCGTCCAAAGCTAAGGAGGGTGTGTGTGTGTGTGCTGGGTCTGCTTAGCCAACTTGGGGTTTCTTCAACGCTTGGACAAGAGTTCAGGTGCGTGCATACCCGGGTGCTTAGAAGGTGGGGAGAGAGCTTTCATTCATCTGTGTAGTCTTAACTTTTCAACAACTCACCTGAATTTCTTCTGAAATTAAAAAAAAATGTTTTTAAGATGGTCTTGGGATCAGGGGGAAAAAATGAAGCATCTTTCATTTCTGTTTGGATCTGTTTTTAAGATTTGATTGATACTTTTCAAGAGGAAGAAAGCCTCCAGGGTAGTATTGGGGAGAGGAAGGGTTTGATCATGGAGGGTCCATAGTGAGTCTGTAGCGTGCACCTGCTCTTTCCGTGTGAATGCATCACAACCAGTGTGTCCCGTCTACTGCTGGTGAGTGTGTGGGCTTTTCTGGTTGGGCTATTATGAATTTGTTTGCTTGGAAGAAGTAGGCACCCATGTCTGTTGAATGTATATGCACGAATAGAATGAGTGGGTTGTAGAATACATGCGGTTAGTTTTTCTAGGCTATTACCCATCAGTCTTGCAAAGCAATGGCACCAACTTCTGCCCCACCACCCCACCACCATGGAAAGACAGTTGCGATTCCTCCACCTCCTTGACTTTCTTCCTGACTTTGGGCACTTGGGTGGGTTAACCATGACCTCACCGTGGGTCTGATTGCATGAGTCTTTGGTGACTAGATTGAGCGCATGCTTACATGTTGCTTGACCATCCATTTGGCATGCCTATTCTGTCTTTTCCCCATTTGAAAAATAATTTGTATTGCAAGATAATACACACAACATAAAACCACTTTAAAATGCACATTTAATGGCCTGCAGGCTCTCTTCACAGAGGTGCAACTGTCACCACTATCTAATTCCAGAACTAATTGCATCACCCCCAATAGTGATCCCATACCCATTACGCAGCCACTCTAGACTGCCTTTCCCTTCTCTCTGGTGGTTACCGTCTGGTGCTTGCCGTCTATTCGGATTTGCCTGGCCCGGATATTTCATGGAAATGAAATAGCATAATGTGCATCCTTTTGTGTCTGACTCCTTTCACATGTGGCATAGTGGTGTTTTGTTTTTTAATGCTTGTTCATATTGTATCATGTATTAGAGTTTGCATTCTCTATTGCAAAATACCAGCCTACTGCCTAGCATGTCACATTTTATGTATTTACTCATCACTTGGTGACCACTCGAGTTATTTCCATGCTTTGGCTAATAGTGATACTGCTGCTAGCATTCATATGCGCACATTCATGTGAATGTATGTTTGTGATGATCCCAGGCACGAACCTAGAAGCAGACTTGCTGAGTCATTTGCCAAAGTTTTGAGCAACTGCTGCAGCTGTTGTCCAGGCTGCCCCCTTTAACATCTCCACCAGCAATGCGCATGCCCAAATCTCATGCCCAGAACTGAGATATGGACACATTCTTCTAAAATGCAAACACTGCATATGCCCTGTTTGTCCAACAAGAGGTTGCTTTAATTCTGATCCTCCACAGCATGAAATAATGCTGAAACTATCAGCTAAAGTCAAAGTGGATCTCTACTGTCAGAATAAATTAGGTGTGTGTGGTGAGGGGGGATGGAGCTAAACAGCCTCGTTTGGATAACTGATAAAACTATATCTGTCAGTCTGTGCCAGGAAAGCCTGATAGAAAATGCCCCATAAATAAACAGGAAAGATGTGTGCGGAACACTCCACTTTCAACTTTCTGAGCTTTGCTATGGGCCTTTTGAAAAAGAAACATGGTTCTCTTGGGTCATGCTAAGCAGATGTCTAGGTGAAAGAGATGTGCTTGGTGGGAGATCATCAGGGGAGGCTTTGAGAAGTTCTGGGACCTTCTGCAGAGTGTCTACAGGGGACACTGCTATCTTTTCCCTGTCCAAATAAACACAGAAGTGTTTGGGAAAAAATCCCCTCATCCTAAAAAAAGGATTATTGACAATATGTACAGTAGAACACTAAATTAAATGCAGCTCATCATAGAAGTGCGAAATGGAAAACGCCAGGATGCAGCAATACAGATAGCGGCCATTGTGGCCCCAAGCCACCTGCAGACACAAACTGGGAGGCTGTCCTGAGTGGTGGGATCGGGATTATCTTCTTTCGTTCCTTCTTGACTGTTCTAAACTCTCTGTAATGAAAACATATAATATGTATAGTTTTTAGCTACTTCTAGTCTATGGCTTGCCTATGTTCAACCAGTCAGGTCTAAAAATGCTGTGTGATAGGATGTGGGGTGATGGGACTCAACAGCCATGGTCCCCTTTAAAAAAAAACAAAGTGTTTTCCAAGAATATGAGGATGGAATGAACATTCCAAGTAGGTTTCATAATTTGAAAAAAATGTGAAATTTGTTCATTATATAAAGGTCATATGCAGATTTGGGGCCTTAGCAGCTTCATACCCTCTGTACTTGCTCCCTAGGGTCCCTCCAGTAGCTGCTGCTCTCTTCCCAGCTCATTTCCTCTGTTCCAGAACATGCTAATCATTTCTTCACGTGGCCAATCCCCCTGCTGTTCCTTCTCTCTTTGACCTACTTCTGGAATAATCCTCCTGACTGTCGTTGCTCCCTCACTTTCAGCCCCCGCAGCTCACAACTCCCCACCCCCCAATGCTCAGACTAATGCCTGTGGTCCATGGCCTGACCTTGCTGCTGGCCGTCTTTGCAGGCTTGGAGGAGGGGGGACAACACTGATCAAGCCCTGGGGTCTGGTGCACGGGCTCCTTTAAACACTAGCTCTGCAATGAGGGCTGTGTGGTCCTGCTGTGTGCAGACTCAGCCTTTGCTGTTGACCTTGAATTCACTGTTTCATTCTCCCATGGTTCCCGAGCTGTGACACAGATGGCCTGCCTCCCTCCAAAAGTGGCTGTGAGGGGCCAGGGCTGAGCGCTCCACGATCAGTACCTGGGTCTCTTGTGAGTCCATGGGGTTTCTCTTTTGCTTTGGAACCTGGAGTTTCAGGAGCTGTGACAGCTCAGTCCCATCCCTGAGCTTTCTGTCCCCTCTCTAGCCCAACGATGACTTCTGCAGGACAGGCATTCCCCTCAGAAGTTTCCCTGCTGTCACCTTCGCTCCGGGCACACGACCCTCAAGTTCAGCTCTATTGGAATGCTCACACCAGTGCCGTTCAAGACCTCCACGCTCAGGGAGTCACTCCTTGAACCCCAGGTGGCTTCTCTCATGAGAACAGCCCTGTTAAACTGCAAAGGCCAACGGGCTGCTGTTCCCTTCCCCCTCTTAATTTCCTTGACCTTGACTCCAACAGTGCCCCAGACATACAGCAGATACCTTGTTCTCTCCATGAAGCCAATCCAGCTCCTCCCCTTTGTTAAGCATGGCTCAAATCCATCCCATCGCGTTACTTCTGGCCAGGCTTTTATCATGTCTTGCCTGAGCAGCTGCCGCCAGCTACTCTCTGTCCTCCATATCTCCTTCCCACGGCTGCTGCTGCTATGGCATCCCCTCACAGGTCACAGCATGCCCTGGCTGGTATACTCGTTACATTTCTGATCTTGAGCTCCATGCGTGGTTTCTTCTAAGTGCCCTGACAACCCTGACAGGAACAACTTTAAGGTGTCCATTTGGTAGGTTGAACAAAGCTTCCAAGACATCAAGCAACCAGCTTCCACAGTGGGGTCAGGATGAGTGCGGTTTCAGTGGTACCTGCAACCACTGGCTGGTTCTGCTTGCCACAGCTGCTCTCCCTTCAGGGGCCTGGCCAATCTGTTGACTTCTGTGTGCACAGGCAGGGCTCTACGTTGTTCACAGTCAGATGTTTAGTAAGTAGGACACTGCATAGCTCTTTCTTGACCTCATGGCCTTGGCTGTGGTCAATCCCGGCCAGTGGCTAACATTTGTCTTTGAAAGTGTACCCAAGGGAAGAAATGTTTTTATAAACAGTAAGTCATAGCATCCATGAGAATATGTGCCATGTGGATGTCCTTAGAATGGATAGCAAGGTTCAGAGTTCAGCTCACCTGGGAAAGGTCAGGTTCTGCAAACCTAGGGTCTGAGCTTATTCCCCGGAGGAAGTCCTTCTGCCCCTCTCCATGCTATACTCAGTCAAAGGTGAGATGCAAATGCATGTCCATGACCCCCACCTGCAGACGCCAGCACGCTATGGACAATTCTACCAGCCATTCTCGCCACCCCACCCTGCCCCCTTGGCTTATCACTCTTTTTCAGTTTCGTCTTGCTGAGAGATGGATCAGACATTTTTGGTTAATGTGTTTGGCTCCTGTGACAAGTGCTTCAAACAAAGAGCTCTGAGACCTGTCTTCAAGAAATCGCAGCAACTCAGCTACTGTTCAACATGTGCAGAAATCGTAAGTGCGTTTCAAACCAGAAAGGTGACTCGCCTTAGGCCAAGGCTGGATGAGGCACAGCCCTGTTTCTGTTGAGCAGCCAGAGCTAACATGTTGTGCCAGAGCTTACAGGCATGGTACAGCTCAGGGGCCCTGGCTGTGGGCTCTAGTGCCCGGCCTCCTGGGTTCCAATCCCATTTGTGTCAGCAGTGCAGGGCCCACAGTTCCCACCTCTCTCTCCAGGCCCATTTTCCCATCCTTACAACAATGAATACGCAGTAGTGGTGTGAAGGTCAGATGGGTCCGTTTGCTAAGGAGTTCAAAGCAGGGACTCATGGAATGTTCAAATCATCATTATTCCCCAGAGCTGCTTCTGTTTTCCACACAGGCTCCTGTGTGGGCAGGTGAGCAAGCTAAGAGGCTGGCAACTCAAGTTGACAAGCACCTTTTCAGGGACCCTGTCGCAGCTGCATACAAGTGTGAAATTGATGGAAGACTCAACAGGGTGTTTTCTGGGTGCAGGTCTTCAGCGAGGTCTAGGCAGTGAAGCCAAATCCTAGTGCTTTTCAAAATACATAATGTACTCTGTAGAGGGGGCTGTACAAGGCTTCAGATCCTGTATAGGAAAAGAAGAAGTAGTATGCACAGCATGGCAGGAGCCCTTAGGGAATCACAGAATAGGCTAACACTGGGTTCCATTGGGCAGCTGAACAGAGCCCCCGCCTGGTGAGAAGCAGTAAAGCACTCATCTCAAAAAATGCCATATGGAAACTCCCAAACCTTCAACAAATTTCAAAATCATGCCCATGCACGCCCGCATTCCCACCACCTCAGATAGAACAGAAGAGAGATATGGTTTGCCTTTTCTTTTTTTTTTTTTTTAAATCCACCTGAAAAGGAACAGGCACTTTTTAACCTGCTTGTTCTGGTTGATTGCCATATTTGTATTCTTATAAACCCAGGGAGAGCAGACAGAGCAGGGTGGCATCCCGAGGCTTTGGGACAGCACGGTCATCCCGACGTCTCTGCAGGCTTGGTATGAGAGGCCCCTGCCTGTGGTGTGCTTTGCTCTCTGCATGGTAGCTCTGCCAATTAGACACCTCAGGACCCCCAGGGAGGGCCCTGCTCATTAACAACCCCTCCTCTGTGAGCTTGAGCCCAGCATCCCAGGCTTGGGGTGTCCTGTGGCATCGTGGTCCGCCCCCCCCCCCCCGCAGCTCTGAGGCCCTGCCTGGAGTGCCTCTTCTCCGCAGGCACTCGGGGTCCCATATTCCCCGACAGCAACCATCCTTCAGATGAGGGGAACTCCGGTGATGGATGACCGACTTCACCTGCACGCCTTTGTGTTCCCTGTGGAGACCACCGCCCTCCCTGCCACCACTGCTTACCTGGGAGGTGTCCTGCAAAGCCCGGCCGTGCAGCATCCCTAAGATGCTCAGGCCCTTACCTCCCATAGAGAATCTACACACCTCACATCACAGACAAGCTGACCCAGCATCACGCGGTAATCTGGCAGGTGCCAGCCACAGAAGGTGTCCAGAGGCTGCTGCCCTGCCCAGGCCCCCTGGATGGCCCATGCAGGGGAGCGGGTGTGGGGTGAGTGATGATGTGCACCCCAACACCCAGTGGCACAGTCCAATGATCATTCTCGTGGGCATCAGGCTCCAGTGTGCCAGGGAACCCCAGCCCTGTGTGCCCCACACAAGTGCTCTGTGTAGAAGAAGCGTGTCCCAGCTGCCGCTTACAGGTGAGCAGCCCCAGTGCAGAGAGCAGTCAGGATCTGTGCCCAGGCTGGCTGATCCCCAGCTGTCCACCTTTAGTCCTCCAAACGCTGTGACAGATGTTCTTTTCTATCTGATGTTAACACTGACTAGAGTTGTGTGTATAAACACATATATTGGTTTTATTTGAAACTACATCATCTATCTATTGGTATCTTTTCTGAGTTCTCCTTCACGCATCTGTTTACCAGAGCAGCATTCACTGAGCCCCTGGTATCCGTCAGCACTAGGCTAAAGGCCATGGGACTAACCGGAACGCACGTGAGGGGAGCAGGGACATGGCAGCTCTGGGGCATCTGCCACACATGCAGACACCTGCGGGGCCTGAGAAGTAGAGCTAAGAGCTCGCACTCCGACCTGCAGCGCCTCCAACAGATGACATCTGTGCAGCTGACTCAGCTCTCCCTGGCTACACCCAGACCAGCAGGGACTGGGCTGCAAGGAAGACAGGGTGCAGATACAGCAGGCACAGCCTCCCGGGGTCTGCTTGCAGAACTCAAGCCTTGCCCTGCCTTCCTACTCTGCACACACCCATGCAAGGTCATCCAGGAGAGCCCGGGCAGGAGGCACAGGATGGGGCATGGCCACCAGGTCCAGGAAGCCTGAGGGAGCCAGACTGCGTGGGTCCAAACCCTGTCCTGCCCACATCCTAGGACTGTGACCCCTGAGTGGTTCCTGAGCCCCTCTGAGCCTCAGTTTTGACATCTGTAAAATGGGCATAAGAGTACCCATTCAGTGTGAGTCCCATGAGGATTCAACAAGCCATGAATGTGCCTAATGCCTCAGGTGACCTGGAGACAGGATGCTGGATTGGAATGAGAATCACCAAATTTGCATCCTGGGGACAATTGTTGCTAACCCTCTCTGTAGCCGGGAGGAAGCCACCTCAGGAAGGAACACTTCCCAGTGGACTAGGCCAAGCCTCGTGAGGCCCAGGTCAGAGCCTGGGCATACCCTGTCACCTTGTCACTGTCCTCAGGGTGGGCCCTGGTTCTGGAGCAGGAAAAGGAAAAGCAAAACAAAGAGTGGACCTCAGCACCTCTCAGAAGCCAGAACTTAACTGTGCAATTTATATTTATTTATCTGAAAGACAAAGTTACAGGGAGAGGAGAGAGACAGAAATCCTTGGGCCAGGCCATAGCCAGGACTGGGAGTTAGCGTGCAGGGGACTAAGCCCTTGGTGATCCCAGCTGCTTTCCCAGGCGCACTAGTAGGGAGTTGGGTGGTAAGTAGAGCAGGTGGGACTCCAACCGGTGTCTGGTGTCCGGTGTCTGTGTGGGGTGCAGGCATCACAGGCCCAGCTTCCCCCAAACCCTTGCCTTGTGTGCACAAGAGGAGGAAAGCTTCCAGTTGCAGTGTTAAGAAGGGCTGGGAGAGAGACTCCAGAATCAAGTCCCTGAGGGAGCAGGGGAGAGGAAAGGCCGTGTCACTGTCCAGGCTCGCCCTGCCCTGAGTACAGGCTTGTCACCTAGCATCTTCCAGCCTCAATCTTCCCTCCGGCGAAGTGGGCCTGCCACTCCCGCGCGCCGCAGCTGCGCGCGCCGCCTTGGCCGTGCGCCCGCAGGTGCAGGGGCGCGGCGGGACGCGCGTGCTCACGGAGGGTCGTCGCCGCCTTGGCCGTGCGCCCGCAGGTGCAGGGGCGCGGCGGGACGCGCGTGCTCACGGAGGGTCGTCGCAGCCCTGGCCGTGCGCCCGCAGCTGCGCGCGTCACGGCCGGAGGGAGGGCGGGGCTGCGGGGCGGCGCTCGGGGCCGCGGGGCTGGGGCCGGGTGCCCGCTCACCGTCTCCCGGCTCTCGCTTCCCTTCCGCGCGAAGATGGCAACCGACGGGCTGCACGAGAACGAGACGCTGGCGTCGCTCAAGATCGAGGCCGAGAGCCTCAAGGGCAAACTGGAGGAGGAGCGGGCCAAACTGCACGACGTGGAGCGTGAGTGGGGGACCGGCCTTGGGGGCTGCGTGCCGGGAGACGGGCCGGGGAAACAGGGCAGGCAGCGGGCGCCCGGGGCGGGGCGGCGACCAGGCCGGCGCCTGGAGGGAGGCCCGGGGCCGGGAGGGAGGCCCGGGCCGGCGCACAGGTGAGGCGCGGGGAGCGGCCTCGGGGCGCGCGCGGGATTGGGGCTCCACGGACCCGGGGCCTCCTGGCTGCATCCCCGCGGTCCCCGTGCGCGGGGTCAGAGGAGAGCGCGCCGCCGGCCGGCTGGGATGATGCGGCCTAGGATCCACTCGCGTTAGGTTTTCCTCCTTGGCTTTCTGCCCCTCCGTGGCGTCCGTTGGGGGGGGGGGGTCCCAAGAGGTTTAGACGGAACTGGAAGCGTTGTTTTTCCAATCTCTTCCCCCCACCACCACCACACGCGTGCCCCACACACATTCCGTTTGCTTGCGGGGCTGGAGCCCGATGGGGGCAGGGAAGCCGAGTCCTGGCTCAGTAGATTCAACCACTTCGTGAGCCTCCGGGCTACTACCCGAGCGTTTGCGTCCATGAGATGCGGTTGACAGCCTGAATTAAAAGGGCCTCGTGGACCTGCGCCTTGTGGTCCGGAAAGGGCTCTGTGCGCAGGTGCAGTACCCGGGTTCGACCAGCTTGGTTTGTCTTACTGCTAGGTGGTGATGCTTAATCCCGGTGGGGTTGGAGCTGCTGGCCGGGCTTGGGGAAGCAGTGGCTCCGTGGGTCATGCCGCGTTCCTCCTCAGCCCAGAACCAGGCCTCCCCGCACACTGTGCCATGCGCTGCTGAACTTTGTGCCCCTGCCCCAGTGGGAAAAGAAAAAAATGGGATTCACACTAGAAGCATTGGATTCCTTTCTTGGAAAATCATTTGCCTGGAGGCTGTTGTAAATTTCTGTAAGGTTACTTAGCCATAAACTCCAAATAAAGTAACCAGGCAAATTGAGAGATTCCTTTCCTTTCCCTTCTTGCCCCACAACAGCCCAGACTGAGCCAGACTGAAACTAGGCGCTTCATCTGGGCGTCCCACTTGGGTGGCAGGGCCCAAGCTCTTGGAGCTTCTTCTGCTGCCTTTTCAGGCCACATGAGCAGAGAGCCGGATAGGAGGTGGAGCAGCATTGATTTGAATCGGTGCCTACGTGGGACGTGGGGTATGTGGGGGGATTGGCCTAACCCGCTGCTCCACAAGGCTGGCCCCAGGAGTTTGTTTCCTAACTTAGCTGCGTTGGTCTAGCTGCCCAGTGCACTATCAGAGCGCCTGGATCCTTTAGCTTCTGCACATTCAGTCGCTGGCACTTGGTACATTGTTAAGATATGCCTGCCACTGCTCCAAACAACTCCTCTAAGCCTGAGGCAGGGGGAAGAGGGCATGCGAGTGCCAGTGGCTGCTTGCCCCTTCTCACCGGGAGAGCACCTGGGAGCCCAGGAGCTCTACCTCCCCAGGTTTCTGTGTGTGCTTCCTGGGCACACTGCCGTCCCGAGCTGGGTCCCTGACACTAGGATAGGAGTGGGGAGTGGCCAGCCCATTTCCTTGTGCAGATTCCTCTGTAGATGACAGCAGTGATGCTGGACCCGTGGGGACCAGATGCCAGCCCCTGAGGGCAGAGTGCAGCTCCCACTTCTGTTGCTTGTTTTGTTGTTGCTTGATTCCTTTAGCTTCCTGCAGAGTTCTTCAAAAAGTCAGTAGTCTTGGGACTGATGTTGTGGCACAGCCAGATCCCGTGTGAGCATCAGTCTGAGTCCCCATCTGCTCCACTTCCCGTCCAGTTCCCTGCTCATGGCCAGGGAGAGCAGTGGAGAAGGGCGCAGGTGCTTGGCAGGGCAGGAAGGAGTTCCAGCCTTGCATTTGAGAGGTGAACCAACAGATGCAAGAGAGTCTTCTCTTTCTGTAATGCCAGCTTTCAGGTACACAATTAATATATATAAAGCGATAGGCTCACCAAATGCCTAAACTACTAGGGCCCCAGCTCTTGGTCTGTGAATTTCCAAAACTATAAATCACACTACAGCCTGTTTCCTTTGTAAATCCTTTCAAGTATTGACATCTGAAACTAACAAAAATCTGCCTAATGCAGTATATCATTCTGCAAGATAGTAAGACATATATTTTACTCTATGTTTTTATAAAAATAAAACAAATGCTCACACCAAGGTGTTTTCAGCCTTCTAGGTGACCTTATAAATCTTTGTGTGTGCTATCAGACACAACAACAGTGGAGGGGCGGCCTCTGCCACTGGGCTCTCAGAGCTGCCCAGCCGCGTCAGCTGTCAGTTCCATCCGGGACCATCTCAGGCCTCTTGCGTGGATCGCAGACCCCTCCTCTCTGCTACATCCAGCTTCCTCCTCCGCAGAAAACCAAGGCTCCATATTGGCCCTTCAACTTCTCAGTTGTCAAGCCTCTGTCTTGTCACTGACCAGACTGGTCCCCTTCCTGATGCGGAGGCTTCCCTTCCACCCCAGACTTAAGATATACCAGCAACTGCACTCTCCAAGTAACCTCAGCTTGTTGGTCATTCCTTCCGCCTCCCTGCCCCTCTGGGCTGACGAGAGCACGCACAAGATCTCTCAGGTATTTGATACCTGCTGGACCCATGTGCATCCAACACACCAGACCCGCATCACTCCCTCCTGGCTTCCATGCCACTACGGGAGTCAGGATGATAAATGAGACAGACAGTTCACTGAATGATCCACAGAGCAAAGTCCAAGAACTTGCTTAGGCTCAGGCAACTGCTGAGTGGTTGGGCCCAGGCTTCTCATGGGAGCACTGTGGCCTTGCTGGGTGAGTGGCTGGGAGCCTGGGGACAGGGAAGGAAAGTTGTGGTCAAGCTGGGGGTGCCCATAACCCAAATCTGGCTCACTCCCCAGAGCAGCCAGCGGTGGTGGTGGCTGTGAGGTACATGCCCGTGGTTCTTGCAGCCACAGCCATGTAGCACCTTCTAGCACGTAACACTTCATAGAAGTGTTCCTGGCACACATAGACCCACCCCTTCCCAGATGAGATGACCGGCTCCCACCTGTTTCTCAGTGGCCCAGGCAAGTGTTTTCCAGTTCGGAATACAAGGACAACTTCCTGTGAACTGGGGGCATGAGTAAGGCTGGACATGTGAGATTTGTAGGACTGAGGCCCAGGACATGGCTGGACCCCAGAGGGTCAGCTTCCTTCCTGGAGCAGCACATGTTGGGTGGCCACGTGGTTTGCCTTGGGTGGTGGGGTCGTGTGGATGACCCTGGAGGCCCAGCCCTGCTCCGGGAGACTACTTTGGAGCCGCAGCTAAGCTTGACCCCGATTTGCCTAGGATGCTGGGATATCAAATGGAAATTCTTGCTTCCTGGGATCCTCTACTGTCACGGGCAAACCAGGGCATCTATTCCCCCTCGTACTGCCTCAAGCTTGCCCAAATCCTTCCCTAAAAAGGAGGTGAGCAGCATTGTAAGTAAACTACAGCCTGATCCTGGCATCCCCTGTCACAGTGCTGTTGTACTTCTGATCCAGCTCTCTGCCAAGGTGTCTAGAAAGGCAGTGGGAAAGTCCGAAAGTACTCCAGCACCGAAGACCCTGCCACCCATGTGGGAAGACTCAGGTAGCTCTCCTGGCTCCTGGCTTTGGCCTGGCCTAGCCTCCACCTTTGTAGCCATTTGGGGAATGAACCAGTGGATGGAAGAGCTCTCTTTCTGTCTCACCCTTTCTCTGCCACTCTGCGTTTCAAATAAACAATTAAAAAATAATAAGTCAATGCAGCACAACTGTAGAGCATGACCTTGGTGGGGGAAAATGAATGGTTCCTGCCTGTAGTCCCTGATGCTTCAATCCCCATCATGTTGGCTCTCAACACTGCGTGTTTTCTGTTAAGCTCTGCTATGGCATGAACATTTTTTTTTCATCCAAAATTCAAGAGTTTAATCCCCAACATTAAGGGTATTAAGAGGATAAAGGAGTGGGCATTGTGGCGTATCAGATAAAGCTGCTGCTGCAGTCATGAGCACCTATTCATGTCCTATCCTTCCCACACTAGCTCCTTGCTAGTGCAGCTGGGAAAGCAGCAGGAGATGGCCCAAGTCCCCTGGGCCCAGCGTGCACGTGGGAAACCCTGAGAAAACTCTTGGCCGATGACTTCAACCCTTCAACCTGGCCCAACCATGGCATTGCAGCCATGTGGGGAGTGAACCAGCAGATGGAAGATTCCTATCTATCTATCTATCTATCTATCTATCTATCTATCTATCTATCTCCCTCCGTCTACCCACCCTCTCTGTAACTCTCAGTTTCAAGTAAATAAGTAAATCTAAGGACAAACAGAGGATAGAAGCTGACTCCTCCTGTGGTATTTGGTGGGGACTTATGGGGAGTGAGCGAGCCAGACACTGCGTACTTGTGTCCCTGACCGTGTGATGCTCTGTGCTGCTTCAGGACCCTGCCAGCAAGAAGCTGTCACCAGATGGGGCCCCTGGCTCTTGTTCCTCCCATCCCACAAGCTTCAGTAAAACCTCTTGTATTTAGTAGGTTAGCCTGCCTCAGGCACTTCATTATAGTAACACAGAGCTTACTAAGACCCTTACCCCAAGTCCAAGTCAGACCCTTGGCCAACATCATCCACAGGAAGTAGTTTTACCTGGGCCATTGGATAGGAAATCGCACTGATCTGCATCAGCCTGCCCCACCCAGGGGCCCTGCTAACCTCTTACACCTCCAGAGCTGCCTGCTTCTCCCTAAATGCTTCTTTTATTTTGCTTCCCACTTCTGCTGCGGGTGAAGGCTCTCTTGATTCCCATTGTGGCACCTTAGAATCCTGTGGCGACAGCTGGTCTTTGTTTTCCATCGCTGCAGTATGCATCCCCACTACTTCATGGCTTACAGCAATATCAATGTGTTCTCCTACAGCGTGAGAAGCTGGACGTCTAACAAGGGCCAGCAGGGCCCTTCCAAGGCTCTAGGGAGGGATCCCTTCCCTGCCTCATCCCTCGGCTCCTGGCCCACTGGGT